CAATATTAAAAGTCCTTAAAATACTTGAAAGAACAAATGATTTCATTTTGAGATTAACCGTGAAGTTGGGCAGACATACAGAGGGAGTAACTGGAAATAAAAGAGGAACAGGGCAAAGTTAAAAGATTGATAACCTACCCACTGCCACTTTAGTTAGTAAATTGATAGAACTACAAGTAGAATAGAGAATTTCTGCTCAGATGCCCTTATTCTTGAATACACAACTATAGCATAACCCTAAATGATGGTCAGGGATGATGAGATAATGTGTTGTGTCAGTTACTGTGTGCTCTAACACAGAATGAGTAACAAAGGGCCCTTGGAGGTACCCAAGGTGATCATGAAACCTCACTTTTCTGCCTTCATTTTCTTAGTTGCCGTCAAGTTGATTCTGACTCATAGTGACCATATAGAACAGAATAAAACTGCTCCAAAGGATTTCCAAGGCTATAACTTTTAATGACACTGCCCGCCACAGCTTTCTCCTTTGGAGCATGGCTGGTATGTTTGAACCATCAACATTTTCACTTAGCAGCACTTAACCACTGCACCACCAGGGCTCCATCTTTAGAAATTAGGTTTCCCTAAAGACTTTCTGTCCCTGACTCAGAGCCAAATTAAAAACTAAAAACCTCAAAGAACCTGTGACCTTTACAAAACTAGCTCTAGGGAATTTTCCTGTGAAAATTCCACAGAGACAAAGAGTAGTGTCCTCATAAAGACTGAGGAGAGGGAAATAAAACAGAGATAGGACTCCATCCTGGTTCTCAGTCTCATGAGTGTTCCCTGTCTCCCAGCTCACCGGGGCATCCCTAGATCATGGTGTGGAGAGAGAAAAAGAAGCGAGACAGAAGAGAACTAGAGGAGACAAGGAGTAAGTATTGGGAAAAGAAGACTTAGGATGAAGCTTAGGAACTAAAACAGGACCATGGTTAGTAAGAGCCCTAAAACTGGTAATAGTATTCAGATTTCAGCATTGTTCTGGTTACCTAGTACCACTCTGACAGGAAATATACCACAAATGGGATACCCTTAACAAATAGGAGTTTATTCTTACAATTTGGAGACTTTAAGTCCAAGTTCAAAGTGCCAGGCTCCAGGGGCTGGGTGAAATGCTTCAGCCTTGGGCTTCAGCTCTGTTTCCAGCTCCTGGCCCACTAAAGCTAGAGGCTTTTCTTCACTCAGATGCTGCTGGCTGCTGAGGCTGCCAAGCCCATGGTTGGCAAAAGGCACACTCCCGATATTACCAAACCACTTGGCAGGCCATTAATTCAAGTCCATTGTAAGCCCCAAGATCGGCAGAGCATAGCAGGCTGTTGAGCAATGACACGGGTACATGCAGGGCCCAAGCATGCCATAGGCTAGAGACCATTGCCAAGGCTTCTCCTTATATACAGGAAGCAGACCACATCCCAAAGGCAGCTATTCAGCTGCTTGTGGTAGATTCCACCATGGAACTGATTGCCAGTCTCATCATGGGGAATAACTACCACCAGCTGCCCAGCCACTCAACCAGGCCCAGCCAAGTTGACACACAAACAACCACCA